GTTCGGTTTTCCGCTATTTTTTCCATACCTCTGTGTAAATAACCCAATATTGGTTCACAATCAATAACATCTTCACCATCCAGAGTAACAATAAGTCGAAGAACACCATGCATCGATGGGTGTTGAGGCCCCATATTTACTATCATGAGGTCTTTTCTTGTAGCTGGGATATTCATAGGTTTTTCCTCGATTCATTCTTCCATGAATCGTTCAAAAAAAAAAGTTCATCAAAATTCAGTATCTAATAAATCGAATAATTGAAAATGATTCTTTAAATTACCTAATTTGTGAATCCCGAATACCCAACCGATTTATTAAATTTTGATAACGTATTTTGTTTTTCTTTGACAAATACGACAATAGTCGTTTCCGTTTTCCCAGAATTATACGTAAACCTCCTTGAGATAAATCGTCTTTTGGGTGTAATTTAAAATGTGAAGTAAGTCTTTGTATTTTATTAGTGAAGTTGAATACTTGAAATTCAACTGATCCCGGGTTTTCTTCTTCTTTTTTTTTTGTGAAATAACAGGTATAAATGAATTTTTTATCATAAAATGAAAGCTTTTCTTTCCCCCTCCTTTTTGGTAGATATTTTTATTGATCAGTAATAGTAATGACACTCATTTTGAAATTTTTATATCAAATTTTACCTTAATTTATTTAACAATTTTCACAATTCTGAATTTTTTTTTTCAAATTCGTTATTAAGGAATGTAATTCAAATAGAGAATAAATACTATATTTATGTATTCAAAAAATAAAAAATTCTATTGTCTTGTATTTAAAAAAAAAAAAAAAGACAATTTTGATTTATTCATTTTTCTATTGATTTATTTCTATCTAATGGAGACATCATTGAAGTCGTATCAATCCCACAATGCGTGTGCGCGTTTATTTTATTTATTGCAATTATCAATTATATATATATATATATATATATATATATATATATATATATATATATATATATATATATATATATATATATATATATATATATATATATATATATATATATATATATATATATGTTCACATATCAGATATCAGATAGATATCTGAAATATTATGATAATGATAAATAGAACAAAAATCTAGATTTTCAATCGAGGATACATATGTATTCTTAATATACTGAAACGGCTTCCATTATGTGTATCAAACCAATAGCGGTTCATACAAGCTAAATCTTCGAATCGATAATTTGGCCAAAGAAAGAATTTTAAAGTCATTAGTTTTTTTGTATCGCTATCAATATCTTCATTTTGAGTCAAAACTTCAGAAGAATTATTTCGTTTTTTCTCAGTGTCATTTATTGTGTTTCTATGCACAGTATTTCTATTCTGTGGGTTCAAACAAATTAGAATTCTCAATTCTCTACGGCGTCTAGTGGACAAAAGATTTTCAGGAACAAGTAAATCATAGTTTCTTTTCAAAATTTTACGTTTGTGCCTCAATGATATGCTTATGGTTTGATATATAAAAAATTGTTCATAGTTTTTTCTAGAAATACGAATAGGTTCAATAAAAAACATTAGGTTGTCCCTCAATTCCTCTGTGTCCCTACATTCTGTATAACAAGTGTCCTTCATCTGCAGACGCACCGTAATTTCAAAATCGAGGTCTGCCTTTTTTATAGACATTATGAAAAATTGTTTTAGATTTTTCAATCTAACCAGGAGACAATATAAGTTGATATTATCCATTAGTGTTTCTTGGACGGGAGTCTTACAGTGCAAATAAAAACCAAAATATTTATCTAGTAAGAAATTTTGTTCGCCATTTAGATCCTTCCTGTATCTAGTTATACTATACCGAGTGTCCCTATAATAGTTTGAGAGATATGATTTGAGATCTGCTTGCTTCCCGTATTCTTTCTTTTCTAACTTTAACTTGGCTACATCAGTAATGTTTTTGTTTCCATAAAACTGCACAAAAAAGAAATTCATTGGTAAGATCCAAGGATTCTTCTTATATGCACTTAATTTTGAAAAGAACCCAAATCTCGGAGTCAATAATTTCTGATTCGTTTTGGAATTCTTTTTTCTTTTTCCCATCCAATTTAGATACTTTCTATTCAGATTTTTTTCCATTGTTTCCATATCCATATCTATAATACCATCTTCTGCTATATAATTTTGGATAAAGCTATCGCCCATTATATCAAATAATTCTTTTTTATTTTTAGGTATGTTGTAATTAATCGTTTGGTTTTTGTTTGCTTGCAATGGTGATTTATATCCATAAATATAGGATTTTTTGTTATCTGCATAATTTATATATTGATAGGAGAAAAGATCATATCCATATTGTTTTTTTTTTCTTTTTTTTTTCTAATAAATCTACTTGTTGTTTTTTTTGTTTTTTGTAAAAAATGAATTGGTTTTTTTCAGATGAATCATATTCAACTAAATTTTTCTTTTGAGCCACGCGATGTTCATGGATTCTCTTCCTCCACTTTTGTGGTACTAATTTTGACCATCCGCTCTAAGGTAAAGCATATTGATAATGAACCTTTAACCAATTTATCCATTGATTCATTATAGAATCGGGACGGTTCTTATGTCTTAATTTGGAATTTAATCTTCCTCCTTGTATTCTAAAAAAATAATCTTTTATTTCATTATTAAGAAACAAAGATCTTCCATGAGATTCAAAAATAGATCTTAACTTATATTTATATCCATTACTAACTTGTGATAATTTAAAAAATACATAGGCTTGTGACAAAGAAGATACATCATAAGAATTCTGTGAATTCATATCTGTAATATTCCAAGATTTGTCTATAATCGACATAAATGGAATTATACTTTCATTTGTTTTATGAACTCTTTGTTCATTTTTTTTTTAGTGTAAATGGAAATAAATACATTTACAATTTTGTCTGTTAATTCAATAATATTAAGAAAACGTTGTCCAGACATCATAATAATACGAGTGATAGAGAAAACGATCTCTATGTATATCCTTCCCATTAAAATTAGAAAAAAAAAATAGGATTTACGGATTAATCGAACGGTTCTTCTTTTTAATATTTTCAAACTATTTTTTAGTAATTCTAATCTTTTAGCATCATAAGTAGTTTTGGTAGAATTCAAATTAATCTCTAAAGTTATAACCCCCTCTTTTTTTTCTTCTGTCATTTTTTCTAGTTGTTTTAAGATTGTCTTTGTTTTAACATTAAGATCTTTTATCCTTTTTTCTGTGAAATTTGTCCAATTCATAGATTGAATTAGAACGGGCGATTCCTCAATCATTGGATTACTCTTACTGATTGTTGAATTTTTTTTGCTTTCACTCAATTCATCTCTTTTTTTGAACCTATTTTCGATTTCTTCTAACACGATTCGAGACCCCTTTTTTCTTTCATTAAAAACTTTTAGAACTAGAAAAAAACGATTTTTCAAATCTTTTTTCAATTGTTTTTTTATTTTTTTAAAAATGGGACCCAAAAATAAAAAAGGGTTTGGGACATGATCATCAAGGTACGATTCGACTTGTGTTCCATAACCTGTTAAAAACCATAAGTTTTTTTCTTTCAGTGGATCTTTTTTTTTTTCAGTAGATTTTTTTTTTCAGTAGATCGTACCTTATTGTGCCACGGTTTCAAAACAAAAGGGAATAAGATCCTTATCTGAATACCCTCCCAGAACCAGTTTGTTGGCAACGCGGTGTGAGATACTGGAACGCCCTGATAGGTGCAGTAAATATGGACTTCTTTTCTCCAATCCCTCAAATCTTCTGACCATTCAGGATTTTGAAATAATAGTATACGAATGATATTTTTTGTGATTATCAATGAAGGTAATAGAATATATTTTCTAAATATTGATTGGAATAGTAATACAAAACTTCTGATTATTAGACCATAGAGAATGCTCTCCCAGGCTTCTTAGATTTGTCTAAGTCTTATTTCAGACTCGTCTTTGTTTTCCTCTATCTCTTTCTGTTCTATCGTTTTCTCAAACGCCAAAAATTCCGAATTATCAGTACCCGGTTTCCTGAAATATTCTTTCAAATATTGGGAGATATCATAGACAAGATCACCAAACAAGAACGCGTAGTCGCCCATTATCTCCAAAAAAAGAGGGGAGTGTGCAGTTCCTTGAAAGAGTTTATAAGTTACTGTTTTACGCCTTTGAGGGCGCATAGATCCTCTGATTAGGTCTCGACAATAATCTGGTTCGCGTGAATAATGAACTACAGCAAATTCAGTATTTCTGTCCGGTTCAGCACTATTCTGATTGTCATTAGAATCTGTTTTACCATTAAAAAGAACTATACGGTCAGCTTTTGGGGAACGAATCTGAGACTCCTTTGGACTCGCGTCCATCAATACCGCCAATTCGTCGACTAAGTCGTATGACCATCGAGGAACTTCTTTACTTATTTCGTTTATTTCACTACATAGTTTTCTATTAAAAATTGTATTATTAGTAGGATCAGTTCGAATTGCGTCCAATAATAATTTTCTTTTTGTTTTTTTTTCTTCGGAATATATTTTTACTTGTTCATGTTCTGGAAATAAATAAAGTCCGTCAAAATTCAAACTTGATACTGATTTTTCCGAAAATTTACTGATTAAGTTAAAAAAAAAACCAATTTCATTTAATAATAATTTTCTATCAAATTGATCTATTTTCTGTTCAAATTCTGGATCATTACTATTAATAGAAAGAAGGAGACCATGAATCTTATTTATCAAAATGTAGTTTGTTGTGTCAGTTTCATTTGGAATGAAGGGTGAAAAGCCTTTTTGGATTTCTCCACGAACGCGTCCATTCAAGAAAGGATCATATATTTTAGTTAAGTATTTTGTTTTCCTATTATCATCAGACAATCTAATTCGATTTTCAAATACATCCACAGGACTAAATTTAATAGATTTATTATCTATCATTTTTGCCCTTTGAAAAAATTCATTGATTAGTTTATTTCCTTTTTCTTTATTAACAGAGCTCCAATAATTAGACAATTCATTATCATTATAGGAGGTT